GCGTGCACGCGTCAAACGCGTCTTCCACTCGTCCAGCCACGTGAACAGCGTACCAACTGAGGCGATAGCGTGTGGGGTGAGAGTGAGGATCACACTGAGCAGTGATCACTGAATAAAGCTGCTATGCGGAAAAAAAAAGAACTGGAACTGAAGCATGCAGGAAATGCAACACCACACGAATACACAAGTTGGGGTGCACCTTGGGGTTTGTTGCCGACGATGGCGTCTGGGTGTGTTGGGGCGAGTGCCGTGGCCCAGTCGAGTGTCTGTTGTCATGCACGTGCATCATGGGCATAGCAGGTGTGACGTGTGAGTTGAGACAGCGATGGTCTGCCTCGTACGCATACCTCATCACGTACACACGTGTATACGCATGAAAACACACACTACAACACACGAGCATCCACACACACACGCTCACACACGCTCACACACACACACACACACACACACACACACGCGCCCACACGCACTGACCGGTTGCGAGCGAGCATTGGCTGCAATGCGATTGTAGTGTGGTGACGGAATTAGATGGCGCCAATTTATCGCCGTTGCATCAGTCACGCTGTCTGTGAAGTCGTCATCAACAACAATAGCACTCTCCTGTCCACAGCCGTCGTCGTCATCATCATCATCAATAGTAATGGTTGCATGTGTGCTTTGATTACGGTCACGGGCCAGCACCAAACGCGTCTGTCGAGCGATGTGCAAACATGGCGCTTTCCCGCCATTCCGCTGCCACCGGGACGCCAACATTGATGGCGATGGTGTTGTTTGCCACGGCTTTGGTTCTGGTGCAGGCACGATGACGTTTGATGGGGTTGGCCACGGCGCTGGTCCGGCACGGAGAGCGGTCGTGCTCATCTCACGCACGAGCTTTTCCCGGTGGAAAGTGGGCATTTTCTGGTGGCGGCCGCGTGTTGGTGTGTGCGGTGACGGTGAGTGTGCTGCCCGTGTGTATGCCCACGGCCAAAGCTGCCACAATGCTGGAAACGAAGACACAGCTTCCGCCACAAGCACGCATGTACGCACATGCACACCTCCACGCATTCAGGCACACAAGCGCACAATTGCACACAGCACAACCGCCAACAACACACGCACACCAACACACCAGTGATTGCTTATCCTTGAAGAAGGTCTGCATGACTGCTCTGTCTTCGGCCATCTGCTTCCTCAGTCGCTAGAAGGATGAGTGAATACAACAGCAAACGAGTGCGGTGTGATGAAGCATGCGTTGCGTGAGAAGACTGAGTGATACAGGTGGTGAGCAGTGACATGTCAACAACCTGCAACCAAAGCGTTGTGGTCAGATGTGAGTAGATGGCTGCCTTGACTTACTGCTTCAGCCAGCTGCTGCCTCTCTTCCTTCTCCATCCGCTTCCGCTCTGCCACGGACAGGAAGATGGGGGCGATGCGCGCTGGTGCGGACGTCTGCATAACCACATCACCGTCGTCGTCGCCATCACCACCACTGGCACCGGCAGCAGGGCCGCCACTTCCGCCCTCACTGCTGTCGGATTGGTTAGAGCCACGCCGATCGCTTGCATGCTGTTTCCCGCGTGCACGTGAGGTTTTCCCTGTTGCCTTTTTTGCTGTTGCTTTTGTCCTCTTCTTGGTTGCCGTTGCCTTGTTTGCCTTCCTGTTCTTGTTCTTCTGATGCTTCTTGCCTTGTCCAGAGCCATCGTCATCGACATCATCTTCAACACCGTCATGAACATCATCATCATCTTCAACACCGTCATGAACAGAACCGCCAGCATCCCTGGCTGCTGCTTTTCCCCGCTTTGCCCTTTTCTTCTTCGGTCTTCCGCCACCGCCGCCCCCGCTCGCTGTGTTGCTGCTCTGCTTTAGGAACAACGGGAACACATTCTGTGGCTGCTGTGACGACGTCTCGCCCGTGATGCTGACACTGTCGTTTGATGACGAGTCATCCACCACAATGTGATGCTGTCGCTGCTGTCGCTCTTGCTGTTGCTGCTGCTGCTGTTGCCGTTCCTGTCGTTGTATTTGCTGCCGTGGCTGTTGGTTTTGCCGCAAGCGAGCGCTTCTGCGACGGGGCGTGAGGGATAGATCCGTGTTAGCGCCAGGGCTGGTCGACGACTGCTCTGGCACCACAGCTTTGGTGTTGTCGGAGCTCGTGGTAGCACTGGATGTGGTGGTCTGGGAATTCTCGGCGCTGATGTCGGCCACAGCTGCCTGGTCTGGAGCACTGAACATGTCCATGAGACGCCGCTGCCGCTGTGCTGTCGGTGCTGGGTTAGGTGGCCGCGCATCTGCAGACGTTGGTTTGGTGCTCGCACTTGCGGTTACGGGTGCTACTGGCTCGCTCGACTGCTCGGGCAGAGGCTTTGTGCGCTTGGTGGGGTTATCAGCGTCTGGCGTGTCCGGAAGTGTGATGACTTCGTTGGTTGTGCCACGAGGGGTTGACGCAGCGCTCGCAATCAACACGGCCGTGTCATTGGTGTCTTTGCTCGGGGAGACGGTTTGTGATAGTGTCGGCTGCGATGCTGTCGTGGATGAGGAGGAAGACGATGAGATGGTGGATGATGATTCTAATGTGCTGGAAGCAGGGTCAGCGTGAGTGACATCACACGTTGTTGTTGTTGTTGTTGTTGTTGTTGTTGTTGTTGTTGTTGTTGTTGGTGGTGGTGGTGGTGGGGTTCGTATCGTCGGTGCAGGTGTTGCTGTGTGGTTGAGGCTTTCATTTCCACAACTCGTAAGCTTGGTGGTCGTCGCCACCTCAGCGTTGTGTAGGTTCTGCTGTTGTAGGTGCTGCTCTTCTTTGTGGTGCGGGTGTTGTTCCTTCCGCCTTGCTACGTTTTCCTTGAGCGTCTTGTCATGCTCGTGGTCTTTCTCCTTCTCGGTTTTGTTCTTCTTCGTCTTCTTCTTCTTCTTCTTGAGCTTCTTCAACTTGGATGGGGGTGGAGGTACAGGAGGCAGCGGAGGTGCCGCTGTCCCTGCTGTTGCTGGTGATGTTGATGATGACGGTGGTGCTGGGGACAGCATCGTTGGTGCATCACTTATTAACCTTTCTCGTCCTCGTCCGTCTCGCACACCATCAGCCGTGCACTTCTCTGTCATCTGGTTGCTGTTGTTGCTTGTGTTGGCTGTTGTCGTTTGTTGGTTTCGTTTTTTGCGCGGGCGCGCCAAAATTTAAATGCAAAACTTCTATGATTCAATGGGACATTACGCTCACAGGGCAAAAGGGAAGCGAAGCGTGCACATGAACATGGCATGCACATGCAGGCACATACATGAACATGCACACACACACATGGCATGCACACGCACATGAACACAACACACACACACACATGAACACAACACACATGCACACACACACACATGAACACAACACACACATGCACAGATTACTCGAACATCCAGTCGAGGTTGTTGTTCTCCTCATCTTCACCATCATCGGCCTCCTCCCCGTCATCCTCGAGGTCTTCGTCCCCTGCCAGCTCCTCCTCGGCCTTGCTGCGCTTGGTCGCTGGCTCGCCCTCGTCCTCGCCGCCCTTGCCCTTCCGTCTGCGCGCAGCCTTTTCGTCTTCAATGTCATCCTCGGGCACCGTGCCGTGGGACTGGTGGGGAGACAGCAATGATTGAGTGGAGAGGGCGGGGGGGGGGAGACAGAAAGGATCAACGGAAGGGGGGCGGCGGTTAGGGTGGACGTGGATGACATGGGGAAGTTCGAGCAAAAGCATGTGTGAATTGTCTGTCAGCTGACAGCTGACACAAACAAACACAAACACGCACAAACAAACAAACACTCAAACACACAAACACACGTACGCAAACACACACACGCACAAACACACATACACGCACAAACATACACACACAAGCACACACACACACAAGCAAACACAACCAAAGACTCGCCCGCCCAGCAAGAAGAGCACGCACCTTGAGGAGCTTCTGCTTCTTGAGCTCGTGCGCCTTCCAGAGCTCGACGTACTTCTGCAGCGGCGGCTCCTGCTGCTGCATGGCCGCCTCAAACGCATCCTGAAACACCAGTGCGCGCACGCGTGTGTGTGAAAGAGAAAGAGAGAGGCACGGAAGCATGTGAACAAGTGGTACACAAGCCTGGATGCCATCAAACACAACACATGCACCACCCACAGAACACACGATTCACAGCTGCAAGCGGTGAGATTGCTGACATTCTTCTCTGTGTCGAGGGGACTGTGGTCGGCGCTGCCGCGGTGCTGCAGAATAAACGCAGAGTTGTTCTCAATCTGCAGCAAAACCCAGACGGCTTGCAATGAGAAATGCGTTGACGTACAAGACATCAGGCATACGCTCGTGTGCACACCCACCCACATGCACACAGAGACACACAGACATATACACATACACATGCAAACACACACATACACACACGCACACCTGGTCTGAAAGGGTCTTGACGGCGCGGCGCGTCTCCGGGACCTTGCACTTGCGGGTGAATGTGCGGCAAAACGCCTGAATGGAAATGGCGAGCTCGGGGAAACCAATGTGGGCGGAGAAGGGGTGGAGGTACTGCAGCATGAGGCCCGTCACCTCTTGCAGCACCGCATCCTGGAACGGCTTCGTGCCAATGTGCGCCTTGGGGAACTGCAGCATGGGTGGTGGCATGGTGTGGAGGAAGCAGATGTATGGACAATGAGAGAGGAGAGAACTGTGTGCATGCATATGTGAACATCTTAAGTGCATGTGCACGTGCGCGCTTGTGCATATGTGTGTATGTACCGCGAGGAGGAGGGCCATGTTGAGCGGCTTCATCATCCGGCGAATCGGCCTCCGCATCATCTGAAGTTGCGCAACACAGGCCACTGTTAGACACGACAGCCGCACAGATGTTGTTGCTCTGCACACCACAACACGAACGCAAACATGCACCAGCGAATAGCAAACATTCACACACACACACACACACACAAAAGCGCACACATCAACACAACAGCAACCACACACACACACGCACACACACACACACACACACACACACACACAACACACACACACACACACCTCTGCGCTGTTGAGTGGAGCGAGGATGTGGGGCGCGAGCGGGATGGTGGTGCGCGTCTTGGCGCCCAGGGAGATGAGCGCACGCAGCACGTGAAAGTGCATGGGAAAGTGCCTGGCATTGACGGAGAGGGAGAGGGAGCCGATTGCAACCTGGATCAGCGGATACGAGAGCGACTCAAACAGGTGGTCCTTGTCGTTCTTCTTCCCATCAGCAAGCACCTCCGCCCACACTGCAAGGATAAACGCGGTGGAAAAAAGGCATGAAAAACACCGTTGTGAGTGATGGCAAGACATAAACAAGCATCTGAACCTGGCGTTGGCGAGAGCGTAGTGCTTGTGCAACAACACACACACGCAAACATGACGCATACACACACGCATCCACGACACATACACGCGCATACAAGACTGACGTTGGATGCAGGCGACAAACTGCCAGGAGTGGACGGTTTGCATGGCTGTGGCGCGCTTGAGGGCGAGGGCATCGCGCACGTGCACGGAGAGCTGACGGATGTACACAAACGCGAGCTGATACGCGCTTGGCGGGTCCTGCAGAAACAGCTCTTTCACTGCAGTGGTGGCGGTGGCGGTCGAAGGTGGGGGAGGGAGGGAGAGGGAAGGGGTCGCGTGAGCACATGAAATACAAGTACAATGTAGTGTAAGGTGGGTGAAGAAACCACGTGCAGGAAGACGAGCAGCGCGGATGGCGTGAGCGAGCATTGCGGTACGCACTTTGTTTTGCATATATATGCATTATACACACACCACACACACGCAAAGCTAAAGAAGTACATCCACAAACACAAACACATAACACACGACGCACAAGACATGCCACTTAACACACAACGCGCACACGCACGCACACACACGCATGCACACACACACACGCACCTGCTGTGCGCATGAGGCGCACGTGCTCGTGGTTGTTCAAGTTGACAAACTTGGTGCAGCGGACATATGCCATGTACGTGCTCTTGAGAATGTTGATGGCCACAATCGGGGTGGCGTAGTACAGAAACTGCCGCAGCAGCAGCACCGCCGCCACGGTGACGGGCGCCTGCTCTCGCGTGAACACCGCAACCACGTCCTTCACCACAGACCGCCGAAGCTTGGGGAGCCCTGCCAGAGTCGATGCAGCAGCGGGAGGTGGAGGTGGAGGAGGTGGAGGTGGAAGGAACATGACCACAGCAAGAGAGCGGAGCAGGTGCAGATTGTGAGCTGACGGTACGTAGCACAGTACGCATTTGTCGAGGGTGCAAATGGCCCATGCAGTGAGCTGCTTGGTATTCGCTGAAGGGCTGCGCAAGCATCTCGACAGCGCGTTCTCGCGCAACCATCAACGCAGTCAACACGTGTGTGTGTGTGTGTGTGGTGATGCGCATGCGCATCCTTTTGTGCGTGCGTGCGTACCGTTGACAAAAGGTGCGAGCTGGGAGAGGGTCTTCACGAGGATGACGAGCATGTCCTGGTTGGTCGCCTGCTTGATCAGCGTCAGGGTTGCGGTGGTAAACGCCTTGATCACCGTCTTCACCTTCTTCCACGACGGCTGCGTTGTGATGTCCGTCCTATGTGTGCGCAGGTAGCAGGGAGAAATTGCAGAGAATCAGCCTGAAAAGGGCCGTATTGCAATGGCAAGAAAGGATACAAGCCGGTGATGGGTGCAACCGATTGATCAAATACTGCAAGTGGCATTCCAACCCAGACGCACTTGTTGTCCTTGACGTTGATCTTGGAATGGAGGAAGGCCGGCACTTGCGAGAGCGTCAGGTGCATCAACGCATTGTACGCTGGCGGTGATGGAAACAGGTGCAAAGACAGGTGGCACATCAGTGCCGTGGCAAAATGTGTGAGGTGGAAGCAGCTGCGATGGCGACATAAACCAGGAGCAAATAAATCGAAACAGCATGGTGCGTGCGCGTGGTAGGTTGGGTACCTGCAGGCGTGGCAACGGTGAACTTTGGCAACTGCTCGAGATCACCGTCCTTCTTCTTGGCGTGTGGTGAATCTGTCTGTGACACAGAGTGGAATGCAATGACCAGCTTGCGAATGGTGCCCAGAGGTTTCTGTGGAGTGGGGGGGGGGGCGAGAAGAAGTGTGAGACGCAGAGATCGGGGAGTGGGGGGTGGTGGTGGAATTGACTCGATTCAGCAGAAACATGGTCGGTAGTGGACTCACAGAGGTTGTCCGCAGACGAGGACGCAAGTTTGTGAACATGTAACACAACACACACACACCTCCGAAATACGCAAGTAGCCAGTGTACACAAACACACTTTCTCGCACACACAAACACACTCATCCACGCACTCAGTCACAAACACACAAACACATACCAAGCGAAGGCGTTTGCTCCAGTAGTTGACAAGCCGAACGGTGACGAGGCGGTTGGTCTCATCGTCCAGCACTTGCTCCAAGGTCGGCACAGCCTTCTTTGCCTTGTCCTTCTTGGCATCCTTCTGCTTATCGGCCTTTGTCTTCTTTTCCTTCTTACCCTTCTTCCCTTTCTTACCCTTCACCTCTTTCTCTTCCTCCTCGTCCTCCTGTGCCTCATCATCGTCATCGAAGCTCACATCGCCCGCGTCGGCCTCATCCTCGTCCTCATCCATGAGCCCCTCTGCTGCGCCATCCTCTTGCTGTTCCTTGTCCTCCTCGTCCTCTGCCACCTCCTCACCAAAGCTAAGCAGCGACTTGTCTTCCTTCAGCAGGAACTTGTAGAACTCTGGATCAGACTTCTTCAGCTCCTCGAGCTGCTGTGCGTGCTCGCTCGCGTTCATCGTGTGCGCGGGGTGGTGCTTGTGCTGTTGCGGCACTCGTACTGTTGTGGTGGTGTGCGCGTGTCTGGTTTTGCACGTGGGCAGGAGCAAACTGTGTTACTACATTTTATCTTGTCGTATATCATTTCTCAAGCAGAGGTCGAAGATGTGGTGTTGGGTGTGTTGGGTGTGTTGGAGGTGGATGAGGATATGTCGCAGAGGTGACGCATAGTGGGGCGGCCGTGAGGGCAGTTCCACGGCTGCTCCATCGTGCCTGCAGGGAGGGAGGAAAGGAGGGAGGAGAGAGGAAAGATGGTGTGAATGAGCGTTGACAACAAAAGGGATGGGTTGGAAGTTGAAGTAACAAACGTGCTGTTGTGCAGCAGCGGAACACATTGGCATGCGCTTGTGTTGTTGGCCCACAACAAAAACCCACAACCAACAACAATGTTCACAACAACGTTCACAACAGTCATAGCAGCAGCAGCAGCAGCAGGAACAAACCCATGTGCTGTAGGATGGCTCGCATTTCTGGGCGGGTGAGCGCTTTGCCGATCATGATGGAGGAACGACAGGCGCGCGACGCAAACATGCCGCGAATGCGAGACGGTCGACAGAACACCCCAGGCTGATCCCGCAGCATGAACAGCAGCTCGTGGATGTCGTCAATTCCTGCACAGCGAGAAAAATGCGTGCGTATTTTGGGGGGGGGTGCACATGCGTGTGAGTGTGTGTGTGTGTGTGTGGGTGTGTGGGTGTGTGTGGGTGTGTTGGTTACACGGGAGCATACGGATTACGTTGGAAGGAGCTGTCGCATTATCTTACAGGGACAGACACGATGCAGGACATGATACAAGGTGTACACTGAAACCAGGCAAACCAAACACCCCCAACGACGCAGGCGTGTGAGACTTTGCCTTACCAAACTCAGTTCCTTTGCTGTGCGGGATCTGCGAGAGGCGCACGCGTTTCCCGGGCGCTGCGTGCTCGTCAACGGCAAACTCAAACCCGTTCTGCTGGAAGATGTGCAAGTTGTCCAGCAAAAGGTTTTCGTCCACGGCCGGCAAGTCCAGTGGCCGCGGGCGGATCAGCACCTGCACGAGCGGAGTCGTAAGGGTGAGTGGAGGCGGGTAGAAGCGGGACAGCGAAAGAGGGAGGGCAAGGTGCATGTATGTATGTGTGTGTATGTGTGTGTCTGTGTGTGTGCATGAAAACACAAGCAAGACGAGCGAGCGCAGCATTGCGTGCTTCTCACCTGGCGTTTGATCTTGGTCACTTGCTGGAGTCGCTCAAAGTTGTATTTTTCATCAGACGCATGCTGTGGTTGTGCATGTGCATGTGTGTGTGTGTTCGTTAGTTGGTGTGCGTTGCAGCAAGAGGTGGGCGAGAAACATGTGTGTGTGCACGTGTATATGTGTAGGCAAGAAAGAAAGGAGAGAGAGAGAGCCACACAGTGACATCCTCAACCCATGTGTTTATCGGCCTCCTCCTCGTCGTCGTCCTCACCTGATCAACGATGAAGAGGTGGTGGTGAAGGCGTGCGATGATGAAGCCCAGGTTGAACTGACCAATCACCTGCGCGCGTGCACGTGCAATACAAGCGTCATGGGGAGAAGCCTCAGGCGAGAGAGTGAGAGAGAAAGAAAGAAAGAAACAGAGAGAGGGAGAGAGCAAGGGAGAGAGACAGAGACAGAGCCAGAGACACACACAGATACACGCACGCATGCACATACACACACACACTCACATAGACACAGACACACACAAATTGCTGCAGCATATGTCGGAAGGCACAAGTGGATGTCACGCCACGCATCCCCCCCCCCCAACCTGCATGTCGCTGAAGTCGTCCTTTGAAATCTGGGTGCTCAGTTCCTTCTCCGCATCATCGCTGCAAAACATGCGCAGGGCGTTGCACGTTACACTGGAATTGCCATCCTTTGAACATACACGTGTACGCAAACAAACAAACAAACAAACAAACAAACAAACATGAGTCATCACATTGCCCAGCGCAATGGTGCAGGCGTACGTGGTGATGGCGGCGGTGAACGTCTTGTCGTCTGTCTCCAATGGTTGGCTGTGCGTCTGCGAGTCGGATTGGGCAGCAGCGAGCTTTTGCCTACCGGTGTTTAAGGGGAGGGGCCAGGGACGTAGGATCATGAGGACGGATAACAAATATCACAACAAGAGGGACGACAGCAAGTGCAGGACATGTGGTGAGGCATAGAACAGCAAAATAAGAAAACGAGCAGACAGAACAGTCACACACCTTCACACAATTCACGCCCGCCCACACTGATACTTGCTCACACACACACACACACACACACACACTCACTCACTCACTCACTCACTCACACACACACACACACACACACTCACTCACTCACGCACTCACACACTCACTCACTCACTCACTCACACACACACACACACACACTCACTCACTCACTCACTCACACACACACACACAATTCACACGCATTCACACACACACACACGAAAATTCACTCACCTGAATGCGTCGATGCGTTGGGACCACGAGACGGCGACAGTCCGCTCGGGCGGGCGCGGTTGGTACACGATGCCGGAATCCGAGAATGACGCCAGCACCATGGGCAGGTCCCCGTATCCGACTTCCTGCGATGATGCACTCGATGGCGCCGTGCTCAGATCGCTGGTGTCGTGGCCGTGGTGGCAGTGGTCGTGGTGGTGGTCGTGGTCGTGGTGGCCGTAGTGTTCATCATGACCATCACCGTCGTCATCGCGTGGGGTGCTGTGATCGTGTATGTCGTCTGCCGTTGACGTGCTGAGCTGGGAGTCGTGCAGCGGTGGCATCTGCCCATCATCGTTTGCGTTCCGCTGCGTCAAGTCCGCCAAATCCTGCGATTGCTCACCGTCTCCGTCCTCAGCAACACGCTGCATCAAGGCATCTCCAACATGGCCCGTGTGTGGATCATCATGAGCACCACGACCGCCACCACTGTGCATCTCGTCGCTGCTGGCGGTGGCGATGGCGGGCCGGAGTCGTCGTGGGTTTGGAACGCGCCTGTGCGGGTGTTGTGTCTTGTAGTGCTGTGCCAGATTGCTCTCCCCAAACAAGTTCTTCTGCAAGCGTTGCAAGTGTGCATGTGTGTGCATGTGTGCGTGTGTGCGTGTGTGTCGTGAGAATGCGGCCATGACATTCGTGCATGGAGCGGCGAATCATGAACATTCAAAGCAGCAGCAGCAGCAACAACAACAACAACAACAACAACAACAACAACAACAACAACAACAACAACAACAACAACAACAACAACAACAACAACAACAACAACAACTTAAACAACAACTTAAACAACAACTTAAACAACAACAACAGCAGCAGCAACAACAGCAGCAGCAGCAGCAACAACAGCAGCAGCAACAACAACAACGCACCATGAACTTTGGGCACCCTGGAACACGGCACTCCCACGAGAAGTTGGCTGCAGCAGGAGGCAAGGCAAAGACAACAAAACGAAACCACGGATACAAGTCAACGGCAATGTTGAAGAAGAACCAGCAATTTTACATGCGCGTGCTCCGCAACACATCAAGCACTCCCCCCCCCCACACACACACAGCCACGCGTGCACACCATCGGCTGCAGCACCTTGAGATTGCGGCTCCTCTCCAGCAAACGCGGATAGTGCTGGTGCCGCTGCTGGTAACGATGATGATGATAATGACGACGATTGTGGTTGCGTGAGCAAGCCTTCGTTTTGACCTCCACCAGCGTTGTGATTGTGTCCATGATGATCACTGCCCAGTGCATGCAGTGCCAAGTCCGACAGCTTTGGTCGCTTTGCCGCCAGCTCGCGTGCTGCTGCTGCTGTTGGCTCTGACGACGATGATGACGATGATGACAATGATGACGATGACAGCGGTGTTGCCGACGATGTCGCTGCGCTGCTCAAGCTGAACATTGTGTGGGTTGAGATTTGGGTGAAGAGAACGTCGTGAGTGCAAGAATAGATCAGTCATGACAGCAAGCATCGCTCACACCCACACAACCTGTCACACGCACACGCACACACAGCGCACATACATACACACGCACACACACGCACACACGCACACACATGCAATCAAGCTGGCACAAACACATACACTGACTCCCAACACGTTCGCTCATTCACGCATCCACTCATTCATTCACTCACAACACACACACACATCACAACACACAACACACACCACACAACACAACACACAACACCACACACAGCGCAGCGACCATGCCGACCTGCCGAGGAAGTCGAGTGTCTTCTGGTGCATGGCTGTGAGCCCGGATCCGTTTGCGCCCGTCTTGAGCAGCATCGTCCCCTCAAACGCCTTGATTGTCTCCGTGATGCACAACTTCGTCGTCTCCAGCAGCGCCTGCTCCTTGTGGAAGAACAACTGGCGGCAGCAGTGGTGACCGTCGTTGAGTGTGGATGTGGTGACAATGTGAGAGTGAGAGCATGGTCGAAGATGTGTGTGTGTGTGTGTGTCAACAGCATGCGAGCACATGCACACACACACTTGCACACACACGCACACACACCCTTGCACACACACACACACACTTGCACACACACACTTGCACGCACACACACCCTTGCACACACACACACACGCGCACACACGCGCACACACACGCGCACACACGTACGCACCGTGCGCTTGTCAGGGGTGACGTTGACGTCGACCTCCTGCTGCGGCATATGCAGATGCGCAACAACAAACGGGTACTGGTTCTTGTTGTATGCACGATACGCCTCATTCACCGCGCGCGAGAGCTTTGCAAATTCGCACGGCCGCTGGTTGATGAAGAAGAACTGGCGGTCTGGGGAGGAGCGGCCCAGCGTCTGCATTGGCTTGGACACATAGCCAGACACCTTCAGGCCGGGCAGCGGCCCATCGACAGTCTTGATCTCCGTCAGCGTCTTGGTCTGGTGGCAACAATGAAGCGTTGTCGGGTGTCGAGGATGTGGGTGGCAAGGATGAGTCAAGTACAATAACCAACACCTTGACGCAGGCGCAGCACAAACACGCACACACATGCACACACACACACACACATTCGCACGCACACACACACACACACGCACACACATGCACACACACACACACAAGCACGTACGCACATGCACACACGCACACACATACACACGCGCACGTACGTACGCACATGCACACACACGCACTTGTGCATGTGCATCCACAAATGGAAGACTGCACGAGAACAATGGCAAACTGCACCGTTTTGCTGCCAAAGAGCGCCGTCGCGACATCGAGGACAGAGGCGTCACCACCGCGGGTTTTGAGCACAAGACGGCGGGCGCTGTTGCCCTGGATGTGGGTCAGGCTGAACTGCACATCAGGGCGCACCATACAGTACCCTTGCAACATGCTCACCAGTTTGGCAAACTCCTTTTTTGAATGCGGTCAACATGGACACGTGGCAGAGGACAAGTGACAGACAGAGGTTGGATGGTGAGCAAAAGGACAAGCGACGGTGCTGCTGGCGATGGCGCTGTCGACATAAGACAGCAAGTATGGGCCTTGCAACAACGAAGGAAGAATCACGCAAAGCAAGACGCGCCATATGCACCACACACAACAGCAGCAGGGATCGTACCCTCTTCTTGTGTTTGCGGAGTTCTGTCAATCGCACGGGCAGGCTGTGGAAGAGGTTGGCAATCTTCACTGTCGTTCCCCGCTGCACGAGAACGCGCATTGGCGAGGTGGGGGCGGGGTGGGAGTCGGCCAGCAAAGAATAGAAGGTGAGCACATGGCATCCAACCAAGCGCACCGTGCAGAAACACCATATCCCCAACAAAACGAAACAACCAACACACCAACACACCAGCAACCAACTGAAGCAGCAAACAAACAAACAAACAAACAAACACATCGGCACAGGACCAGACACACCTCCCGAGCGCAGGGTTTCTTGGCTGCGAGCTCGCCGTCAGCGTCGTAGTGGAGGTCGTGGCCGGCGCCGGAGCTGCTCGTGCTCGTCGTCACCGTCAACTCACTGTGCAAACAGAGAAGCGAACGATCGTGCACATTGGGGCGGAGTTGCCACATCGCATCGCATCGGCGCAGTGACTGTGAATGACACGGCTGGGACCCTCAAAGCAAAACATAAAACAACCACAAAGATCCCAAACAGTCCATGTACTTGCTCACATGTACTCGCTCACAGAAACGCTTCCTTGTTCACGCACGCACACGCACACCACGCACCTGACTGCACACAAGGAGCTGAGGGCTTCGCCGCGAAACCCAAAGGTGCCGACGGTCTCCAGGTCTTCAAACTGCGCAATCTTCGACGTGTGGTGCTTCTTGGCTGTGTGATGGACGACATTTGAGTGAGTTGAGGGCGTGTAGTGTACACAGGGGCCGCGCAGGCACACACACACACACACACAAGCACACACAAGCACACACAAACAAGCACACACAAACAAGCACACACACAAACGCACACGCACACAAGCACACACGCACACAAGCACACACGCACACAAACAAGGAACGAGTAATGCGTTGTGAGACACACCGAGGCTGGCAAAGTTGCTGTCCTCAATCCCGCTGCCATCATCAGCCACCTCAATGTAATCCAGGCCATAGTCCTTGGCCTTTATGGCTGTCCACGATGCATTGTGCGTGCGCGCGTGAGAGGGTGTGTGTGTGTATGTGTGTATGTGTGTGTGTGTGTGTGTGTGTGTATAGCCATCATGTGTGCGAGGGACGCAACAGACATGCACGAGAGGCGGCATCAGTTTCGACACAACAACAGATGCACAGGCAGCCACACAGCAACAGCAGCTGCTGCAGCAACTTCAAAGAGCGATGATCGTAATGCCCCAACGCACTGATGGTCTTGGCGCCGGCATCCAGCCCATTTTCCACAATCTCCTTCAGTGCCACGGACAGCGACAACACGACCTGGCCAGAACAGATGCGATGCACATCCTCCCTCCGTATCTGCCGGATCATCCCAGCGTGTGTGTGTGTGTGTGTGTGTGTGTGTGTGTGTGTGTGTGTGTGTGTGTGTGTGTGTGTGTGTGTGTGTGTGTGTGTGTGTGTGTGTGTGTGTGTGTGTGTGTGTGTGTGTGTGTGTGTGTGTGTGTGTGTGTGTGTGTGTGTGTGTGTGTGTGTGTGTGTGTGTGTGTGTGTGTGTGTGTGTGTGTGTGTGTGTGTGTGTGTGTGTGTTGGGGGCTTTGGTTGGCTGGTGTGTGTGCTCGTTGTCTCCAGCGCGCCGTTTGTTTGTTTGGCGCGGCAGTGGCTGTGAAGATTGGTGGAAGATGTTCATAATTTATTCTTTACTTGCCAATACAGAACTCTGCGAACAACTCGTCCAGAATGTCTTCGAGGTGCACAGAGCCGAGGATGAGGCCAAGTTCGTTGAGTGCAAAGCGCATCATCTGCGCCCTGGACACAATATCCACTTCCCCATACTCCTGTTGGCACGAAAGCGTGGGCGTACATGCAAGTCAGGCACGAGAAAGAGGAGCGAGGCTTTGTTGTGAGAAGACAAGGGGGGTGGAGGAGGATGAGAGAAGAGGGGGGGGGGGCAGGAGGGAAACGGTGGCAACGCTGTCATGTCATATGATTACGAGGACAGTGAAGGCATATACACACACATGTACACACGCACATGAATAGATGTATGCATACACGCACATATACACACGCACATGTATGCATACACGCGCACTCACTCACTCACGCACGCATATGTACACACATGTATGCACAACACACACAAACACGAACACACACGGGATGCTTTAACCTTTGCTTCCTTGAGGTATTGCAGGCAGGTTGCAACGTGTTGACGATGGCGCTCGCGCGTGATGACCACGTCTGTGCCGCTGCTTCCAGCACCTTCGCTGCACAGCCGACGCACACGATCTTCCAGCGCTTCAAGGAAGGCCGGCAACCCTTGCTCCGTCTTGCACGACAGCCGAAACACGGCCAGCCCTTGGTCGCAGTGTGATGACGCTGTTGGTGTCCATGTTGTTGGCGACGCGTCAGCATCACTGCCAAAGTCTGGGGTGCTGCTGATATCTGTTTTGTTGAGGATCACGAGCGTCTCGCCCTCGTTTGCCTGCGTGCAGTGGCACGGCCCTTGCCCACCCGGCAGCGAGGAGCAGCGGGATGAGGGCGGCTGTGAGCTGTCCTGGACACACACGCGCAAGTCTGCCTGTCGCGCTGCCTCTGTCGCTCGACGAACACCCTGTTGTGACAAAATGGGAGGCAGGGAAGAGAGAGAGAGAGAGAGGCAGGGAACCATGGGTGAGTGGTGTGGCTGCTGCGTTGATGGTGTGTGAGGTTGTCGTTCGGTGCACACATCTCACTCTAATCTCTACCTAGAGCAAAGACGAATCTTCAGCCATCACCACCACTGCTGCTGCTGCCACTGCTGCCACTGCTGCCACTGCTGCTTGCTGCTGTTGCTACCATCATGCGACCATCATCATCATCATCATCATCATTATCATCATCATCATCATCATCATCATCATCATCATCATCATCATCATCATCATTATCATCATCATCATCATCATCATCATCATCATCATCATCATCATCAT